GCCCGATTCAACTTCCGGTAATCGATACACAATCTCAAGGCACCATCTTTTTTCTTAGCAAAGAGGGCCAATGCTCCCCACGGCGAAACACTAGGGCGGATGAAGCCCTTATCTAACAATTCTTGGAGCTGAATCTTCAACTCACTCAACTCGGCTGGGGTAAAATAGTAAGGTGCCATAGAAATCGGCGCCGTGCCGGGCACTAAATCAATAGAGAACTCTATCTCTCGGTAATGTGAAAAACTAACGAGATCCTTGGGAAAGACATCCGAATACTCACAGACCACCATCGGCAACACAATCTGGGTCTCATCACACTCACTACTCAAAAGGCTAGCAAGAAGACCACTAAGCTCACTCCACCCTCGCGGATTATGCACCGGTGGCAACACACTACCAACCTGATCCCCCAAGAAATGGAAACACTCCCCGCTCAAGGTACAAACTGTGACCCTCTGGCGGTAGCAATCAATAACAGCCCGGTATAACGATAGCCACTCCATACCCAAAATAACATCAAAACCCTTCATGGGCATGACAACAAAAGGAAAAGGAAGCCTATAGTCGGCGACCTCTATATCACTACCTCTACATCCGTGTTTCAAAATCAATGCACCCCCAACAGGTGATACAACACATATAGGAGATGCTAATAGTGCCAACTCCAACTCCAACACAGATGCGAATGCAGCAGATACAAAAGAATGAGATGCACCCGTATCAATCAACACATTAGCAACCAAGTTGTAAAACAGAAAGGTATCTCTCACAACTGATGGAGCCGGTACTAGGTCCTGTGCGGTAACAGCATACACGCGCCCTGTAGGCCCCTGATCCACCTGCTCACCTCTAGGAGCAAAAGACTGCTGCACTGACTGGGACGACGAAGCTCCTGGATTGGCCCTCGAGGCTTGCACAGACTGAGCTGGTTGATAACCCTGCGTCTGCCTAGAATTAGACGCCCCCGAAGTGGCACTCAACTGTGGACAAAACCTCTTCAGGTGCCTGGGCTGACCACACTAATAGCAAGACAAAGACTGGCCCCTGCCCTGGCTCTGGCCCTGAGGTCTAGCTGAAGAAGAAGTAGCTCGCTGACCCCCTCCCTTCTGCGGGCAAACCGAAGACTTGTAACCCAGCTGGCCACATGTGAAACAAGTCAAGCCTCCCTGATTACCTCTCCCGGAGCCTGCACACGGCACTGGAAAGGTCGATCTAGCCAAACCACCCTGAGACTGCTGAGGGTTGAAACCCCTCTGTCTCCTACCATCACCTTGGCCATCTTGGCTCCTCTTGGAATCTCTATGTTTCTCCTCATCCTCCTCCTACATCATAATCTCCATATGAGCTGCAGCATCCACCAAACGTCTATACTCTCGAATAAACGACCCTCCAACCCTCAACTTGAGTCCACGCCTCAACTTCCGTTCAAACTCAAAGAAACGACGTTCCTCGGACGCCACAAGTTTAGGTGTAAACCTGGACAAGCTAGTAAAAGTAGCCTCAAACTCGGCCACTGACAAACCCTGCTGTTTAAGCTGGCAAAACTGTTCCCTCAGCTTCTCCCTAGCAGCTGAAGATAAAAATTTCTCCTGGAAGGCATCCACAAAAGCCCTCCATGCACCACCAACACTACCCTTCTCGTACTTTCACCATTAACCTGCATCTTCCTTCAGTTGGAAGGATGTCAGGGTCACCTTTAAAGCCCCGTCCTCGATGCCAAGCATCTCGAACATCTTCTCCATCTGTTCTAACCACTCGTCAGCCTTAAGTGGCTCCTTCGGATCCCCAACAAACTTGTCCGGGTTAGATCGGAAGAATTCCCTCTTTTGAAAAGAAGTCCCTGCCTAAGCAACATGGGCCTGATCCTGATTCCCAGCTCTGAGAATACCCAAAGCTCCTACTATCTCTCGGGCCAAGGCACTCGTAGTCTACTGACCCGCTGGCTCGGCCACATTGGCCTGACCAACTCCCTCGTGTTGTGCCGGAATATTATCTAGTAAAGGCATCTCATGCCTACCCCGCTTGCCACACCTACCACCTCGTCCTCGTCCTGACATCCTAATAAAGGTAACGAAGAACGTTAGCACATTCATAAATGTGCCGAAGCTATAACACTCGCGTCCTAATGCATGGACAACTGTAATTCATTCCACGTAAGCACACAATCACATAAGCACTTATGAATTTCATTTTCGGATAATGATAGTCCCGAGGCGTTACTAGAGTTCCGGTTAGAAACAGCATTGATCAAGTGCTTTTCCAACAAGACTAACAGAAACCCAAGGATCCAATCAACATCCTAGAAACTAAATCCCATACCCAATTAATCACATAAACATGTTATCACATAAGCACATAACATTTCATCTAAGTCTCTAACAAGCGAGACAAACCCATTGTGATACTAATCACTTCCCACGTGCCCAAAGTATTCGAACCCGGTACGCTTTGATACCAAGTTGTAATGCCCTCAAAATAATACATAATACCCATCATTCAGACATGCAGTAATATAAGAAAATCAACGCCTTTCCATTCATCAAAGCAGTTCTTACAACAGTATTACATGTTAACAACAAAAGCAAATGTCCTATGGGCTTACAGCTTTCCAAGTCAATACTTGATTACACAAAAGAAGAGTACTAACTCTATACAAAATAAGCCCTTGGCTTGATATACATGTAATACAAACAAAATAATCAAAAAGAGCCTTCAACTCCCACAACCATCCAAGCTATGTCCTTGGAGGTGGCATGCTACCTGTACCTGAAAATAATGTCCCATGTAGGGTGAGCCAACGCCCAGTAGAGATATGCTAAACACAATATGAGCAGTAACTAAGACATTAGTAATTGATAAATGTTTAACTCCCATAAATCAATTCATAAAACCATTTCCATTACATGACCACTATGTCTATGTTTCATTTCATTTTCCATTTCTTATCCAATTTCCAAATTCATACCCGTGGCTCAGAACCTGGCCACACACTCTAAACAAAATAATAATTCATATTAAACGTTTCCCATTTCGCAATAGATAAGCATACAAGCTGTATCAACACCTCAACAGATAAGCATATGAGCTATATTAACACTTCCATTGATAAGCATATGAGCTATATCAACACTTCCACGGATAAGCTGAGCTGTATCACCGGAGTCCATTCCCTATCTTCTCCCAAACATTAACCAGTTTAGAGGTCCATCCTCTATTTTCCCCTAAACCGTGGAGTACATCCCCTATTTCCTCCCACACAACACAATGCCTATAAACAATTATCATATACATCATCAAACAATACATAATGTTAATGTATTCTTTCAACTGTCATATACGATGACACATTCCATTGATTAGTTTTAGTTTGCCTAATCATCATGCATTGTCTACAACAATCACGACTATCCTCCACCGGTAGCCCAAGGCAATTATTTCTAAACAGATAATAAATGCGTTAACAGATAATTTATCCATATTTTCAAAAGTGAGCGATTAATAAATCCAACTTCACTAATCCATCTCATAATGAGCCAATTTCATTATATTCAACTCAATTCCATATTTTCTCAACACTTGTCATTAATTACACTAGTGACCCAAACATGGCATTTTTCCCTTGATTCCCAATATTGACTCCAAGAATCCAAATATTACCAATAACATCAATATACTCATTTTGAAACCCAAATACGTATTTATGGTCCAAAATAAACAAAACCCTCTTTTCAAAATTAAACATTTGAAACCCTAGTTTCCAAAACCCAAAACCATTTATACAAAAACTCAATATCTAGAGTGAGTAGGAATCCCTACCTCAAATTCGGAGCCCAAGGGAAGGAGATGAAGAAAACCAAAATGCTCCAAACTCGAAGATCCACAGATCAAAACGAAGCCCTTGACGATCAACACAACTTTTACAAAGGCCAAAGGAAAGGGAAGCACTCTAACTAGATCAAACCCTAGAGAGAAGGGAGTCTCTAGAAAAAGAGGCTCTCAAAATCAGTTTTGGAAAAGTAAGAGAGAGAGAGTGAATGTAAAAAGTGATTAAAAAGTGCCTAACTGCCTTCTGATATACGACATTCCCGCTCGAGTGGAGAACAGGACGCTCGAGCATCACGCACAAAAATCTAGACACGCTCAAGCGCCAAGACACAAGAATAAAGTACATCCGCTCGAGCGCGAAAACCAGTCTGCTCGAGCGTAGATTTCCCCCTCGCAGAACTCACACCAAAAATGTATTACCCGCTTGGGCTCCAACAAGCCTGCTTGAGCCGCTCGAGCGCGACCCGCTCGAGCGCAGAAAATCCGCTCGAGCGTAAAAATTACACCTGCAGAAGTTTTGCAGAGTACCAAAATACTGGGAGTGTGCAATCTCCGCTCGAGCGCTAGACGACCCGCTCGAGTGGAACGACCAAAAACCTGGCAACAAGATTTTAGACCAAGACTCAACCCACCTGCTCGAAACATGCCCAACACATCCTAAAACTCAAACAAAAGGAATCAAAGGATGACAATAAGATAGATACAACTACCAACTCCGTGGAACCAAATTCCGGAATACAACAGATATCGAAAGGGAAAATCGGGATTGCTATATATTTATTTTTATTTTAAAAATAAAATAAATAAACTGAAAAAATTATAAAAATTCTTTGTCAACCCCTTTCTGAAGTGGAGATGAAATCTACTAGAAACCCAGGCCTGCAGGGCATGTGGTGACCACGGGACTATCGCTCATTTTTGTATGAACGATAAATGTCTAAGGGTGTGTTTAAATCCCACAACTATGTCTCGTAATCAGAATATTATTTTCTTTCTTGATTTTCCTTGGATCTAGGTATGATTTCCCTTTAACTCCAAAAGGCAAAAAAAAAATAAGGGTAGAAGATGTAAAGATGAACCTATGATATACCATCAAGTTACAGTAGATTCTCTTGTGATATTCTTTTTTTCCTTTGATCGGTTCTCATATAGTCACTAGAATTTAGAAATTGCACATGTTTAAGGAGCAAAAACTCATGAAGAAAGTTTTCACTCAACCAGTTGCTATACAATCACGAGGGATATCTGAAACAACATTTAACAATTGGAGTCCTGATGGAGTTATGGAAAGAGTTCGGTGAAAGGACAAATCTAAAATTCTAAGGCCATGTTTGGTATTGTTCTCAAAATTTCCATTTTTATTTATTCGAAAACACCCATCGTTTGTATCATTTTTATTTTTTGTGAAAAGCACAGTTTTCAAAAAAATCAAGAAGTTGAAAGTATTTCCCTTAGTTGCACGAAGCGTGAGCGGGAGAGAGGAATCGTAGTCATTCTAAGAATCGTTGATAGGGAGCGTTTTTATATATATTAAATAATATAACATATATAAATATATTGTAAGATTATATATTTTTTTTCTCTAATAATAATGAAAATATATGTTATAAATTTGAAAATATATCTATATAATAAGACACAATAGTTTTTGAAAATGTATGAGAGATACATTTGGTATTAACGGTACAGATCTTTCCAAACAAAAATAAACGGCTGAGATAAATTTTTTTCCCGCCCGTCTCTCTGTCTCCCCTCTTTCATCTTTGCCCAGATCCATCCTCTTTCATACGCTCTACTCTCTCTACCTCTCTTCTCTGCCTCTCATCTCCGTCTCTCGACTACCGACCACCTCTCCTCGCCTCTTGCTGTCCTTGCTTCTCTCGACCACCGACTCTCTTTCCTCACCCCCCTCTTTCGCCATTTTGGCAAAGGAATTAAAAAAAAAGAAAAAAAAAAGAGAGAAAGAGGTGGACATCGTCATCCTACCCAGTCGACGCCGACACCGATGCCGACGCCGATGCCTTGTCCCGTCGCTGCCAACAACGAAGCTGTTCTTCATAAGGTAAAAAGCCCCAATAATAGATTTGAAATAAATAGCTGTGCCAGAGAAGATGTCGCAGGAAATATGTTGTTAACTGCTAAATTACAGAGAGAAGGTTGAGAAGCATTTGTAATAATGCAAAATTTATGAGAAATTTGATTCCATGTGGGAAAAATATGAAACTTAGAGGAAATGGGTTATATTGGCATTCTGGAATTATTAGGAGTAATTTTAAACTTTATAACTTTAGAGATTTGAGTAAAAATTTAGGTAGTCCTCCAAAATTATAACTCATATACCCTTAGTTAGTTTCCTTTTATTTAATTTGTTCTTTACTACTTTCTAATTTTTCCTTGATACATTAAATTCATTTATAGAGTTCCAAAATACGTTACTTTTTGAGTTAAAAGTAAGTATAATATACTTCTCTTCCAGGTTTAAAGCTAAGTGATTAGATAAGACTGACGATTTGCTTAAAATACCTATAGAATGTAATCTAAATGTAGACCAAGACTAAGATTAGGTTAATTTCCAAACAAGCTATTCCAAGTTTGGTCTTACAATGCTCAATTTGGGTCTAAAGTGCTTCTCTAATAGTTATATCTAATACTTGAGATTGCATAAAACTTTCTTCATAAGGTAACAACATAGATTTGAAACAAAAAGCCCCAATTTAGATTTAGTTTAAATGGGTGTTTATTTCAGTTTGATTTCTGACATGGTTTTGATTTATGAAATGTTTGATTCTTTAATGGGAAATGGGTGCCAATTCATGAAATGGGTCCTAAATACTTTTGAGTTTCCTATATACTGATTCTTTTTGTTTTTTTCTATTCTTTCGTTCTTTTTTTCTTTATTTGGGAGTGGGGATTGGTAAGATTTGATAAAAAATAAATATAGTTTCAGCATTGCCTATTACTTTTTTAAGACGCTATAAACAATTGTCCCCTTACTGTATGTTGTTCATTTGTTGTTTTATCCATTGAATTTTATTGCATCAATTTAGTCTTATAGTTTATTTAGTTTAAATCAAAATTTTGTTTTTGTTGTGGCAGGGGCTTGGCTGCTGCCCATGAGCTAACCAAATGGATTCAAAAGGGGGTTGATTTGATATTTTGCTTATGGTCATATATTGCTTAACAAATATTCCAAATTTATTTAAGGTTGGAAGCAAAATGAATCTGAATGGGTGTAGGTGAAGATTGAAGAAGATGATGGAGTGTTACATACACAAAATTGATGGGACTAAACTGATATTATAAATGGGTTTAGAGTTCCAAGAAGAAAGAATTGAAAAAAATAAAACCCAAGAAAAATATGGATTGATTTTTGTAAATTAATGTTTTTATGAGGCATTAATTTATATCTGTGTTGACAATGTGTTTGGTAGTGTTTGCATTGGGTAACCTATTATTATTGTGCAACAATGTTTGTGTTTAGTTTGAATTGGATGGTCTATGAAAAACCTTTTATTAGTGTGACAATGCGTGTATTTGTTTTGAATTGGGTAGTTTCTTTTAATTTTCATATCTTTTCTATATTTTATAGGTGGATGAAGACTAGAAGCAAATTGTAATATCGGCTCCCTTTTTACAGGCCTACATTATTTTAAGTTTTTTTCTTATCTCTCTAAAGATTTTGTATTTATTGTTGTGGGAGTTAAAATATTGCTAGAGATGTCTAAACTAAACGTGCACTTTGTGAGTACTTCGTCTAAAATATTGAAAGAGTGGCAATCTCGAGTGAGCAACAAATTGTGCATACTTTGTTCAATTTGTTTGAAAAGATATGATAATGTCTGAAAGTACATTTCTCTTTCATCTTTATCCTAAATAGCATTCTAAGTGGCATAGTTGTCATAGTAGTTTATATGAATTTTAATGTGTACTATTTGGGTGTTATTTTTATATATTTTTGAAGGGTGACACTTTTGCTAAGTAAATTTTAAATTTTCTACTTTTTTCCAATAAAAATATGTGATGTTCCTAAATACTTCTATCTAGACTTTATGCTCTTAAGTAATTTTTTGAAATATGTCATGTTCCTAAAGTAATTTTGCTTTTTTTAATCTTCTTCCTTATTCATGCTAAATACTCAACCACTGTTGGTTGGACATGCTCATTTTCTTTGGAAAAATTCACATTGATTGAAGTTTGTAATTTTTTATTTACCAGTGTGAGCACTTCCAAATTGAGGCAAGAGTTATAGTTATAAAGGTAAATTCATTATTTAATTATTAAGCTTTGTTGGAGGGTTTATTTAATATGATTTGAATTAGGACCATAAAATGATTGCTGGTTTGGTACTATATTTTTTATTTCATTTTTTATTTGCTGGTTTATTTAATTAATTCATTATTTAATAATTTTACAATTTATATTATGGTTGTTGGTTTGGTATTATGTTGATATATTGATGGCAGTTAATTTGTGTATTGTGTCTATTCTATATGTGGATTGATGGATTTAGTGTTAATACATTAAAAATTCACACCAAAATGGCTGTTTGATTTTTGTACAAGTGTAACATTTGAATATGTATTTTGCAATTTTGTTGGAATTCATGGTGTGATTTGACTTAGACTATCATTGTGGGTGTTCTTTGTTATCTTGCTGCCATATTTGAAAGTGGAGTTCAAGTGCCAATTAATTGAGGGTTATTGCCAATTAATTTGTTTCTTTGTTTCTGTTTGAATTTTGAATTCCTAAAGTAAGTGGTAATCTGCTTTCTCTTTTAAAAGGGCATATATGGGAAGAAGTGAGGGAATTCAAATAAGAAAAACTTCGGACTCGGCTCGGCTCCCTTCGAACTCGCACTCGCAAAGTAAGACTTCGAACTCGCTGTACAGTATTTTTTCCCGATCGTCGTTGTTGATTATGTTGTGTTTTTCCCTTTCTCTGCTCTTGCCGGTAAGATTTATTCACTCTTCGTTGTTTGCCTTCCCAATTGTTGTTTTTTATTATGTTGTGTTTTTCACTTTCTCTGCTCTTGTCGATAATTTTGATTTGTTGTTTTGTTGTTTGATAGTAATTTTTGGCTTGTAATTTAGGTGTCTTATTTTTGTGAGGGTACTTTCATTATCCCATCTATAATTTTTGTGGGTACTCACAATTGCTGAGCATCAAATATGTTTGATCCGTGTTGTTCATGTTAGGCACTGAAAATTATATGAGCATCAAACTATGAAAATTAACTCTGTAGATCTTCCTTGGTTTTGCTTCTGCTACTATGAAAACATTTACTAATTACTACAGCCTGCAATTATTACATAAAACATTATTTGGCTTGCATAGGCAAATACAATGCTCACATGTTTTTAAAGTCATGCCATCATAACTACATCTTTTTCACTAAGTTTAAGCTTCGAGTAACTCACTTAGAGACCAATTAAGTTAAAAAACTAATGATATATATTAAAAATTGAAACAGATAGTTCAGGGAAAGCTACTGTTGCATAGAAAGTTGGTTTTGTAATAATTGTTTACATTGGTTGTTGATATATATTGTCTTGACATCCTATACTAAACTAACCTCCATCAAACATATTGAAAATAGTAGGTATGGATTTAATGATTAGAAAACTAGTTTTTCCACTTGCAGTGTAGTATGCTTAATACATATATGGTTGTGGTGATAGTGTATGAACACCACTGATCATATTGGTTTGTCTACATTCATCATATTGGTTTCAAATTTTGTGTAGAACACCATTAAGTGTTAGTCCTTGTTACTTTTTAATATGGAAACTAGCTTAGAATGTTATTCTCTGCTTCTTTTCTTTTTTTCATTACCAAGATGAATTCAATCTGTTGTCAAATTATAGTTGGTTTCGTAATAATTGTTTATGTTGGTTGTTGATTTAGATTTTTTTTTTCTTTTCTATTAGTTGGTGTGCTTCTTTTATTTTTATTTTTTTGAAGTACATTAGTTAGTGTCGTTTGGTTTTATAAGTTGATACTTCTAATACTAATACAATTTGGTTTGGGGCCTCCCTTGAATGTGACTTTTTATTTTTCTCATATTTTTCTTTCCTTTCCAAATTGGAAGTTTATCTTCTCTGTGTTCTGATTAATTTAGGAAAGGTGACTACTACCGGTATCTCGCTGAGTTTAAGACTGACCAGGAAAAAAAAAAGGTTGCTGAACAATCACTGAAGGGTTATGAGGCATGTTGATCAATTGTCTTGACATCCTATACTAGAGATATGCATAGTGAATTGCTGCATATTGACATAGTTTTATTTTTGACCTTCACTTGATGTGTCTTCTTGATGCTGCTTTTTTTTTCTTTTTCTTTTTTTAGGCTGCTTCTACCACTGCAAATACAGATCTCCCTTCAACACACCCAATTCGTCTTGGCCTTGCTCTTAACTTCTCTGTCTTCTATTATGAGATTATGAATTTGCTTCAGAGGTTATTCTTAATTCCTACGTATTTGGTGTCATTTCTTTGGAAAGAAGTTTATCTGGTGTCATTTCTTTGGAAGTAAGTTTATCTTCTCTGTGTTCGGATTAATTCAGGAAAGGTGACTGCTACTGATATCTTGCTGAGTTTAAGACTGACCAGGAAAGAAAAGAGGTTGTTGAACAATCACTGAAGGGTTAAGAGGCATGTTGATTAATTGTCCTGACATCCTATACTAGAGATATGCATAGCGAATTCTTGCATATTGACATAGTTTTGTTTTTAACCTTCGCTTGATGTGTCTTCTTGATGCTGTTTTTTTTTTTTTTTTTAGGCTGCTTCTACCATTGCAAATACAGATCTCCCTTCAACACACCCAATTCATCTTAGCCTTGATCTCAACTTCTCTGTCTTCTATTATGAGATTATGAATTCTCTTGAGAGGTTATTCTAAATGCCTACGTATCTGGTGTCATAACAAACAATGGGCAATTTTTAAGGGGTTGATTTTGGATAATGGAGCTTGCTTGCTTATATTTTCTATTTTTTGTTTTGTTTCAGGTACATATGCCTTGGCTTGAAGGAGTGTTTGATTAGCTCATAAAAAGTTGTTGTGACTTTGTTTGCCGCAATGGTTGATTAGGTAATTGGTCTGCTTTCCATTGATGGATTTGTCAATAATTTGTTACTATCTATTGTTCAACTTGTCTTCATTTTACATGTTGTGAAAATTAAGAATCTTAAATTGTTTATTAGATAGGCTTCATTTACATGTTGGCTATCTTCTGGATTATTAGCTAGGTTCATAACCAAGAAGAGCGAGTACTTGATTTTTTTATGGTGATAATTTGGGTCTTCGATTTTAAATTTTGAATTTCATACAATTTTGATGATAATCATTGTGATAATTTTTACTATAATTTTGAAAATTAGCACAGTTTAGAATGCCTTTATGTTTGATTTTTCTTTGCTTTGATTAGACTTGAAAAATTCAGGTTATACAATGAATGGAAGTGTTGTGTGGGTCTATTAGTGAATTTTTCAAGAAATGGAGAGTAATCGCACAACGGCCCATTAAACAAGTGAGCCTTTTTTTTTTCTTCAAAATTTTATCTTTGTTTGGGGAACTAGAAGTTTATTTATTGAGTTTCTTTTTATTGTAATTTTTCTTCTTGATATAGGTGATTTTGGGGTTGGAAGAGAAATTTTGATCAGGTTGATCAATAGAATAATTTTGCCTACTATTTTTTCCACACCCTATAACTCTACCAGTACTTATAATTAATTAAAATTTTCATTTTAAAATTTAAACACTGTAGGCACAATTGTATATTCATTTTAACATAGATGTGACAAACAAATATAATTATAATAAATTAAAATTTTGATTGGATGAGTTAGAGTGAATTTTTTTTTTTCTTCTTCCCTTTACTCCTGTGACTCTTTAACTCAATATATTTTAGTTTTATTAGGTGAAAATCATCTGTTATTTTGTACAAGAGCTGCGCTTGTTCTTTCTTTTCGTTTTCTTTTTCTTTCTTTCTTTCTTTCTTCTTCTTCTTCTCCTCTCATTTTTTATTTTACTTTCAGAGTGAGGATTGTAAGTTGTGATAAAAAATAAAAAAAAGGTAAATTACAAACACACCCCTTGAGGTTTACTTAAATTACAAATTACCCCCTGTGGTTCTAAAAATTACATAATGCCCTCTAAGGTTTCTAATTTCATAACAAATAGGTCCTTTTATTAATAAATCATCAAGTTAATTAACAATTTTTAATAATGTTAAAATTTTATTTCAATTAATAATTTTATTATTGTATAGGTGAACAGTTAGAAATTTCACTTTTTTAATTATTTTTGTTAAATAAAAAATTCTGACAGGAGGTATTTGTAATTTTCCAAACCAAAGGGGATATTTCGTATTTTAAGCAAACCTCAGGGGTGTATTTGTAATTTATCCAAAAAAATTATACTTTTAGCTTTGCCAGTTATTTTGTTAGACTCTATAAACAATGCTGAGATTGGCTCAATGAGGTCTAGAAAGAATTTGTAAAAGAAAAATAGTAAATAGGTCTAGATTAACAGAAGTCAGTTTTAAGCCAATTGGTTGTTTCTTTTTTTCTTCAAATATTTGGTTTTGGAACTAAATTAATTCAGTAGACTATCTATGCTATTAGTTAGTCATCCTGGAGTAATGAGTGATGGCATAAACTTACTTTATGCTTGAAGTAATTTAAACATACTTTATACTTTTAATTGGATGATTATGCATAATGGTACCTCATAAGTGAAGAAGAAGGTGGTTTCACTTTCAACCCTTAATGTTGGTGAAGTGCTCTCTTAAATGTTATGGGCAAATTCTTGGTGATTGATTTGGAGTATACAACATGTTATCAATCATCTAGAAAGTGAAAAGTATGTAATCCCTTTTTATTATTATTTTTTTTTAGTAGGTAGGTTAATTGATTGGTTTGAGGAAAATGTGGTGTTAGGTACGAGGTGAGGAAAAGCTGTGAATTTCATGCAATAATTTTTTGAAATAGTTTAGATTTTAGAAACCCATCTTCATGTAATGATTTTTTTTTTTTTTTTTTTTAATGGGGTTGAATTTTTTGGTTTTTCTGAATGGTTTTGATTCCAAAAATATTAAAATGATAAATGAACCAGCACAAGTATTTGGTTGTAATCTTTGTTTAAAAAAATAGTACACTTAATTTAATTTAATGAACCTTGGGTTTAATTTTAGTTAGATTTGCCCATTAACATTAATTTCAAGTTTGATTCTTTTTTTGTTGCCTACTAGAAAATAAGTTATGCATTATCACATGGATGGAAACTCAAAGGAGCATGATCATCCAAAAATGGATACTTCACACAAGGTAAGCTTTAATTGTTTAAAATTTTAATTTTGTTTGGTTTTTGTGGATTCAACGTTAGACAAGACAATTCCGAGGTGAAGACAGTAATGGAAGAGACACATTTGGGTCGGTTCAATTCGGGCATAGATTCACTGGGTAATTGAGAGTACACTTGTGTAATTCCTTTTTATCTTCTTAGTGGATTGTTTTGTTGCTTTGGCCCGTGGTTTTTTTTATCACAATTGGAGGCACTCCAATTGTGGTTTTTCCACTTCAAATCGCTGTGCCGATTTGTCTTTGATTCTTTGATTGTTTGATTAGGATTGTCATTTGTTATTTAAAATTGAAACATAATCACAAATCAATATCTTGGGATTTTTTATATTTTTCACGCGGGATATGATAAACTGCATCAAGATGAGCTGTACGAGGTGCATGCATAAACTGACTCACAACACTTACAGCAAATGTCAAGTCTGGTCTAGTGTTGATCAGATAAATCAATCGACCCTCTAAACGCTGATACATACCCAAATCACTTAATAACTCACCAATAAGCTTCAGATTAGGATCCATAAGAGCAGAGGTACGTTTACAACCCATCACACCGGTATCTTGAAGAAGACCCAAGGTATACTTCCTTTGAGACAAGGAAATCCCTTGGCGAGAACGAGCAATCTCAATACCAAGAAAGTACTTGAGAGGACCTAGATCTTTGATGTTAAAAACTTAGTTGCACGAAGCGGGAGCGGAAACAGGGAATCGTAGGCATTCCAAGAAGCGTTGGTAGGGAGCGTTTGTATATATATATATATATATTAAATAATATAATATATAAAAATATATTGTAAGATTATATATTTTTTTCCTCTAATGATAAAGAAAATATATGTTATAATTTTTTTTTTAAAAAAGTACTATAAAAAATCATATGTTAAAATATTATAATTATATACTTTTATTCGATTTTTTTCATTTATTATAAAATATTTATATTATTTTTTTATTTTATATAATATCTAATTAATTAAACACAACATAAAAAATTTAAAAATAAATAACAAATAAACATTATTTTAAACATAAATAAATATTCATTTTTAACATTCATTTTTTGAGCTGGCCAACACAAGATAATAAATTAGTTAGGTGGAATTTATATATATTTATGCAATCACAACTAGCAATGCAGATTTCATTAATTGTAAAAAAATAAGGGTTAAATCAAAAGTCATTTTGCATAAATATGGCATTAAGACACAACTAGAATTAAATGAAAAGATGTTAATTTATAATATAAAATCTATACTTACATAAATGAAAAATAAGAAATTTAAGTATTAAAAGACTTTTCAGTCTCGAACGGAGAGGTAGGGAGAGAGAGAGAGAGAGAGAGAGAGACGAAGAAGAAGAAGACGCCTAATGAGAAGAAGAAGAAAACGCCTGCGAAGCACAAAGCTTGAGAGATGAAGAATAAGAAGATGAAGACCAAAGCTTGAGAAGCAAATATGTGGAAGAAGACAACGCAATCTCCGCTTTCATAGCCCTAATCGCAAGTCCATATCAGGTTTTTCTTTTCCTTGTGATTCTCTCTCTCTCTCTCTCTCTCTCTCTCTCTCTCCCTCTCTTCTACTTTATTGTTGTCGTGTAACACAAATCTTTAGCTTGAGCATTCCCATCCAGTTAGATCCGTGATTCTATCTCAATGGGGACGCGATTCTAACACGATTCTTGCTACGAATCATTGAATCGCGATTCTAGACGAGAATCGTCTCCCCTTCCCACGATTCCTGCTACTAAGATATTTCGTTAAAAAAAGGTGTTCCAAAAAAAAAAAAAATCTTGAAAAAAGTTCTCAAAACAAGTTCTATGTATCCGTTCCGGTTTGTTCTACTTTTGGAGAATAGAAAAATAGAAAACAATACCAAAATCGCCCAAAGTAATTCAGACATAAATTTCTCAACTGCCAAAACCCCTTAGACAATGAGAAGGAAAAATGGCTATACATGGGTTAAGTTGAAATATTTGCTGCCAGGGTAAGATGTTGATTACACATAATTTTTCAGTTTGGCCAATACTTCACATACATAGTCATGGTTTTACCCTCCATTGTAACTACTTCTGGTATGTGCATTCAAAACTATCCTATTCCTGTATCATCAAAATGACCTCCACGTGCCTCCACTACTTTACATATTTTCAACACAACTTGAAAATTGATCTAAAGATCACAAGGAAAATCAAATGGACAATAATCAATCGAACGATGAGACACTTGAGACAAATCCTGTTGTCCATCATATAAGTACGCTTAATCTAAGGGAATAAAAACTTGTTTTAGAGCAAGTGAAGACACTTGATTTTATTCACCAAAAAACAGACACTTGATTTTATTTTCACTTTTTTTCTATTTTTCGAAAACTATATTCATTTATTTTTTGCAATGAAAGCTGTTACCAAATGTGTTTTTTTTTTTCACTTTTTTTTCTATTTTTCAAAAACTATATTCATTTATTTTTTGCAATGAAAGCTGTTACCAAATGTGTTTTCATGTCCAAATTTCAGAATTTTTAAAACAAACACGTTACAAAACAGTCCCTTAGATTCTACAGTTATCTATAACATTGTGATAACATATTGTAACACCCTCAAAATAAACCCATAATATCATACATTCACGATAAAGAAAAGAGATTTCATATTACAATCATCAGAGTATTCTTACAAAAGGTATTACATGTTGACGACAAAAGTAAATGCCCTAAAGGCTTACAACTTTCCAAGTCAACACTTGGTTACAAAAAAAGAGTATTAACTCTACACAAAATAAGCCCTTGGCTTGATATACATGTAATACAACAAAAATAACAAAAAAGAGTCCAACAGCCTCAAGCCTCCCAATCTACGTCCTTGGAGGTGGCATAACACTTGTACCCAAAAATGATGTCCCATATAGGGTGAGTCAACGCCCAGTAGAGATATGCTAAACATAATATGAGCAAAAACTAAAATATTAGCATTTGATAAATGTTTAACTCATATATGCCAACTTATAACACATTTCAATTCCATGACAAATATGTCCATGTTTCATTCCATTTTCCATTACTTATCCGGTTCTCAATTTATGAATCAAACTCAGAACCTGGCCAATAATTTAATGAGACTACAGTTCATATCAACAATACTTCCATAATTCAC